ACGCTCCAGTCCCCTTCTCGTTTTTAAACTGGCGAATAAGGAGGTTCTCTGGTTGTTTTGCAGGTTATAGAGGCGAAAGAGGACAACGCGGCCAGCCCGGATATCAAGGAGCTTCTGGAGATCCAGGAGATAAGGGGGGAAGGGGCAAGACGGGAGACAAAGGAGACCCGGGATTTCCTGGTGTCCAAGGACCTAAAGGCCCCCCTGGGATATCAGCGTCTTTAAATAGCTGGAAAACATGCGCATGGAAGCGCGTATATCCTCTACAAGAGTACGGACTACTAAAGGTCTACTTAGTTATTTATTGTGCTTTTTTTTATATCCTTTTACTACCTCAGCGGCGGATCCAGGAGAAGGGCCCATGGGGCCCGCCCTTCTTCCCCCCCTCCCCCCCCCCATTTTTTTAGACCAAACTGAGGCCCGAAGGGCCGAAAAAATAATTTTCAGGAGACCGCCCCCCACCCCCCCCTCCCCCCCCACTTATCTAGGGGTCTGGATGACCGCCCCCTTATCTCAAGGTTCTGATCCGGCACTTAACGAGATAAGGGGTGGAAAGGGGAAGAGGGGAAGAGAATAAAAAGTCGTTTATATATCAATGACTTCGCGCTTAGCCTCGTTTTGAAATTGAGGCTTGGGGCAGTTTGAAATGGTCTTTTCTGTTTCGTGTTTTCGGTGACATTCTGTGGACTAGCTGTTTTGAAAGTTATGGACCAACAGACACTCGTTAAGCGCGGATGGAGTTGTAAGTTGCGTATAACTGTGTTTAGTAAAATCCAACTAGTGGTCCATTATCAATGCTGCGTTCTGATTGGTTGAACTACTACTAGCCTATATGTTATAGCCCACTAGTAGCAAAAAGCGTTGGGTTTGAAAACCAAAACAGTGACGGCTGAATCGCGTTTTGCTAGCTAAAGTTGTTTTGTCTCGATATTTTTGACCAACTAGTTGGATTGTACTAAAACAATTCGGCCTCATGGGCTATTGAATCAGAGCCCATTCGGGCTCGAGGGATAATTGTTAAATATATACACACTTGGAGAGTTAACCAGACACGAGTTTATCATTCTGATCATTCACAAATCTTTGATTTGAAACAATTTGCCAGACATTCTTTCCTTAACTTTGGGGGAATAAGACTCAGTCCACAAACAAGCAAGACGAGTGAATCAACGGCTTGCTTATCACCAGCAGAACGATGGACGATTACACAAATTCGCCGACAATTAAATTCAGTACTCCACTATTGTTGCTCTGGTGGTAATTTAACTATAATCATTTCTAAACCTTGAGAACGATAATGTTTAAATCAATTTCTTTCTTTTTTAAGGAATGTATTTTCAACAAGATTAATTCAGGGAGCGTGCTGCACGTAACGTTTGAAGGGAGCCTGCGAGTTGGTTTCTGTACCGCGTGCTGCAAGCGGTGGTTCTTTGCCTTTGATGGTATTGAGTGTCAAGGTGGCAACATAGAAGCGAGGCTAGAAGGCAGCAAGACGTTTGCTGGAATGGAATACCGTCACGTGAGAATGGAAGGCTACTGCGCACGCCCTGCAGGACAAGTGTCTGTGGAATTATGGGTAGAGGATTGCGCTGGTCATCAGCGAGCATCTAAAGTCCCATTTGTAGAAGTTGATTTCAATCCTAGAATCACTGTTGAAGAGATCAGTCTCACCGAACTATGATGACTGGATAAGCGTCATACATTTTTATGTCAGACGCAATAGACAGGAGAAGTGTGACGTCACGTTGTCATGGTAACAAAATTTCTGGATGACAACAAACCGTAAAACGTCACTTGAAAAGTGAATTCGCACTGTTTCAGACTTCATCGATCTCGTTCATTTTCAATGTTGGCTAAATTTTCTGGGGTTAAACCAGAAAGGACCGTATTTAAGTTTAGAAAAAAAAATTGTGTTGTTTTCACCTTGTTTATAAAGCGGGCGCGTGAAATTAGAAAGTTTCAAGTCGTAGTCATCCTACGACGGCTAACAAACATACAAAAAGCGTAATGTACGTGCACAGTTGTTGTTTTGCTATCTTAACTTATTGCTTCTTTGCCGTTCTCGTTGCCGTTGCTGTCGCCGTTACCTAAGCTCCCTGTTGTTGTGATCCAAAAATTTTGCTACCATGGTAACGTGACGTCAAACTTCTTTCTACTATAAACAGCTTTCTGATTGTTATTATAACACTAACAATAATTTGCATTTTTCCAGTACAATTAGTGATTATAGTTCATTGCTCACCGTGATAACAAAGTCATTAAATTGAGATAGAATGTTTTCAAAAAATAAAAGTGACAGGAAGCATTCCTCGGTATCTGGTTATTTTGTGATTCATTCATGTTTAAGACTGTGTATGTAAAGCAGTTAAGTAATGATCCGGGTAACACGGAAAACAATTCATTTTGTTATGGCCCAATACGCTTTCCTCACATAGGAATGTTTTCATTTTCACATAGAGAATGCATAAACCTATAAAAAGTAGTTTACGAAATAAAATTCGTTTAAAGACCATTTTAAAGGGTTATTTTTGTGTAGAAAGATTTCGACGAACCATAAGAGTTGCAAACAATAGCCAAGAAAAGTTTACAATTTTACATGTTCCTCACATAGGATTTCTGTGTTCTTACTTAGACTCAGACGAGATTTTGTTATAAGGAAGGTGGTTAGAAAACAAGGGGTTAATATACATGCTGCTTTGCGAAGATTTCGTAAAATTTGATGTTTAAACCAATCCGAAATTTAGTAGAGACAATGGAAAAGTTAGCACCTTTCAGTGCATTCCGACGCGTTCATTGGGTTTAAATTGCTTCTTTCCTTATCTGAACCGTTAATTAAAAGTTCTGGTTATGGTATGTAAAAGGGTGCCATTTGTCAATAGAAGGTTTTTGAAAGGGGTTCCTTTTCAGTCAAAAACGGTGTGTAAAAGGGTAAGGGGTTGGGCCTCGGGTTCAGGAGCCTCCCCGTATAAAGCTTTGTTGAGTACCCCCCGGTTCCCTAACACATATTCGCAGATCACCGGATAAGGAGAATTTTAGGTCAGTAACGCTATCCAACCTTTTTGAACATCCTGATTTCAATCGAATTGCTTGTAACAACAGTTCAGATTATCCTGCTTAGCAACCTGTCTGATCCTGCACGCGACACATGAGGATGACATGACAGGGAAGAGGCGCCGGCGGGAGCAGAAGATCGCACTGATTGCGGCACGTGGTATTAAGACAAATTCTAATTCTATCCGACCTTTAGAACATTCTGATTTCAATCGAATTACTTGTAACAACAGTTCGAGTATCCTACATAGCAACCTGTCTGATCCTGCACGCGACACATGAGGATGACATGACAGGGAAGAGGCGCCGGCGGGAGCAGAAGATCGCACTGATTGCGGCACGTGGTATTAAGACAAATTCTAATTCTATCCGACCTTTAGAACATTCTGATTTCAATCGAATTACTTGTAACAACAGTTCGAGTATCCTACATAGCAACCTGTCTGATCCTGCACGCGACACATGAGGATGACATGACAGGGAAGAGGCGCCGGCGGGAGCAGAAGATCGCACTGATTGCGGCACGTGGTATTAAGACAAATTCTAATTCTATCCGACCTTTAGAACATTCTGATTTCAATCGAATTACTTGTAACAACAGTTCGAGTATCCTACATAGCAACCTGTCTGATCCTGCACGCGACACATGAGGATGACATGACAGGGAAGAGGCGCCGGCGGGAGCAGAAGATCGCACTGATTGCGGCACGTGGTATCAAGACAAATTCTAATTTCAACCATGACATGAGCTTGCCCTATTTCTAACTTCCCTTTGGAGACTCCACGTGCCGTTGAGATGAAATCAAACACAGCTGGTTTCGACTATCAGTTTCAGCCGTTGAATGTCGCTCGTTGGACGTTGGCCCTCCCAACTGACCTCCACTGGACCACGTTTTGTGCAGCACGATGCCAGTGTTTTACAAAACTATTTATAAGTCATCCCTTCATCTCGTCTTTGGTCTTCCTTGGTTCCTTGTGTGTCCTCGGGGCGTCCAGAGGGTCGTCCAACGGTTGTCTGTTCTTCTCTTCTGAGATTGCTATTAAAAAAAAAGGTTTCGTGTCTTTTTCAAAGCCACCAAAATGCAACTGTCACTTTCACAGACCACAATGAGAGATTCCCCCCCCCCCCCCCTCTCATACACTTCAATCAATTAGTGAAATCACAGGTAGCCCAAGCTCGAAATACAGTAGAACCTCGATAACTAGTACTCGGATAACTCGAATTCCCCGCCAACTCGAACTAAATTTCCTTTCCCTTGAAAAAAATTTCACTGAAATTTACCCCGATAACTCGAATTCCCCGCTAACTCGAACTGTTTTTCGTTGCTCTTCATTGTTCGAGTTACCGGGATTCTACTGTATAAGCATCGACGAACATCGGGATTTGTATGGGGAAAAAACCTATCGTTTCCGTAACCTGCGAAAATGAAAGGATTTCAATAAAAAAAAAAAACAGCTTACCTTACATGAAATGTGTGTCCCATCTATCCTGTGTGGTCCATGGGCCGATTTATGGCCGTTTCATGGGTTGTACTGTAAACGGTTTTCTCTCTATATAAAGGTAAACCTTACGCAACAATGCCGATGTTCGCCGATGCTCATGTTTCGAGCTTGGGCTACCTGTGGTGAAATGCTTGCCCTTTCATATACCTGAAGCCTGAAAAAAGGTACCCCTTAGCTTTCGGGCAGAGTCTCCCTGTACAGGCCATTATAAGGAGTATTTCAAAGTTTCTTTTCTCTTGTAAAGACGATTTACCCAAGAGTTTCAGCAAAACGACTGCCCCGTGATGCAAAAAGCCCACTTCCGGTTGACGTCCGTCGCTCAAAAACGTTGTTGCTTAAGCTCCCTATTATAAGGGGTACCCCCAGGGGGAAGAACGTGAGGAGCACGGGATCATTTTCCAGACAGCGCTCGGCTACATCACATGCTATCATCACGAGGTCTTGTGATGCGGATACACCTTTTCATAACATTACATGCATCTGCGCACCGATACTTTGCTGCAGTTGTTCCAGCTACTGTTGGCAAGATGAACACGTCCCAAGTGAAGATTTTCCTGTCTGGCCTGATGTTTTTGGCACTCTGCTGCACTGCAGTGTTTGGAAAAAAGGTAGAGGTTAAGAGCTGTGGAGGCTACTCGGAAGTTTCTTCACTGGATATAACGCCCTGTGACGCAGTTCCTTGTTCATTCAAGAGGGGAACCTATGTGAATACCACGGTCATTTTCAAAACAACGGAAGAGCTTAAAAGTGGGAAATTGAAGCTTGATGTAATTTATCCTCTTCCGATGTCTTTGCCAGTAGACAAACCTGACGTATGTAAAGGTCACAATCTCGTTTGTCCGTTGGAGCCGGGAGAAGAATACAAGTTCTTTTCGACCTTGGAAGTGAAGAGGATTTTTCCTCCCTTTAAAGGGGTAAAGATACAGGCTAAAGTCAAGGATCAAGCCAAAAAGACCGCTATGTGTATTCAGTTTGATGCCGATATCATCTGAATTAAATTGCACTCCACGAACCAAGGAACTGGTCGATGAAGTCATCGACTCTGGCTTCATTGCTTTTCAATTTAACAAGTTGAGCTCTTTTAGATTGTCTTGATTTGGGGTGGGGGGGCGGGGGGTACTTTAGGAATTTCTGGGTGGGGATGTGTCGCTGGGACCCTGAAACCCTTAACCTATACCAGAGCTAGTTTAGCTGAATTTTGCTACCCTATACTAGAGTAAACTCCCCAAATCCTATCCTAGAGTAGCTGTTTCCCAGAAACTACTGAGGTCACTAGCACAGTAGCCTAGCCAAAACAAAACCTTAAACCGCAATCCCTAGTCTGGATAAAATCGTCAACCAACTGATCAGTTTCCTGAAAAATGATACCCTATTCTAGACCCAAACGCTCTGATTTATATACCCTATCCTAGAGTAAACTGCTTGAAAACCATACCCTTCACAGCGGCACATACCTATATAGCCCATATATGGCAGTACCTCCCCCGGGTGATTTCACCGAGAACTCTAGCTAGAGTTTAGTTTTGTTTCAGTGTTTCAATGCCTGCTTTGCGGACTTGACGAGCTTTCACAAAAGAATAAAAAAATGTTATTTTTAATAATAAGCAATCTTTTGAATTTGGGGTGATTTTGGTGGACGTAAAAGAAAAGTAACTACGGGCTAGATCCGCTAGAGAAATACTTATAAATAATTAAAATGGAATACGTTTTAGCAGGAGCCTCGGCTCCTGGTATTTGTAAATGTTAGAGGGTGAACATGATGTAAACATGATTGTTCTAGTGAATTTTCCAGATCAAAAATGTCAGATATACATTGTGTAATGATCATAAAACAATCTTATGGTCTGGCCATTTCCCAGTTCCAAAAAGTCTCACTTTCAAAACGAGGCTAGTGCAAAACCTTTCTTGTGAAAATGACTTAGTTTTATTTGAGTTTTATTATTATTCAAAAATCATTCTCATATCAATGGCTTTGCACTTAGCCTCTCTTTGAAACAGAGGCTGGGACAAGAAAAATGGCCGCCTGTTGGCGTTTGGCCGCATAGAGTTTCTTTAACATGTCCTTGACTTCTTTTCTCTGATAGTAATGAGTCAGTGTTAGTTATCCAATATAATTTCGGAATGAATAAAGGATTTTTGATTGAATTTACACGTCATGTATATTGTTTGAAGAAACGTTCAGACACGGACTGTCTTAGCCCGCGTGGCAGGCGTTCGAGGAGGAATGGGAAGGAATCTGGCTGCAAGACCGCGCACAAAATCTCCAAGACTTTCTCAAAGTCCGTTTTTTTGCCTTTTAAGTGGTCAGTCGGGAAACGTCCACTCGCGACATCTCGCTCGCTGTCGCTTGCTTCGCGAGCGTTCCTCGAGCCCGTAGGCTAACTGTCCTAAGCCAACCTTTAATTGCCGTTTATTTCTTTATTTCTTTACTTTTTTCGTACAAAACAGAATCCGCCCCATTTCGTAAGCCGTTTTGACAAACAAGAAACGAAAAAATTATTACGGCGTTATATTATTTTAAAAATACTACCATGCGTAATTTAGGTTGAGAAACGCTGGAAAATCTCTGCCATCTGGCGAAGTTCGTCGTCTGCTCGAACGCTTGCCCGGCGCTTTGCTGCCTATAAAGCACAAACTCCTCCTTACACGGCTTTTCTACTGTGAAACTCGTGAGGCCAACCTTGTAGTAAGTCTACAATGGCGCCGAACGTCGGTTTTTACATTGAAATCACTTTGGCTATCCACAGTGCTTTAAGATCTCTGTAAGTGCATTCTAAGCGGCGCTTTAAAATTTGCATCTCTTCGGTCATCCCAGGGGCACTTGAGTCTTTTCAAAATTATAAGAGCTTAGGGTTTTATTTCTCGAAAAGCTTAGATGCAATTTAACGTATTTCGAAACTGAGAATTTTTCGTATCCCTCTTTCCACTACATTTTTGAATCCGACAATTTTAGGTTTCACTTTTAATATGGTTCGAAAATTGTACATGAAAGGAACGGTCATCTAGAAATTTTTAGATGTCCTCAAGAAATAGAAGATTCTAGACAATATTTGCTTCTCCGAGCAGATATTTTACAGAAATCAGTCGTTGGGTGCCCCTGTGGTAAGTCTAGACTCCCTGGCAAAAGAAGGTATGTATGTAGGAGGCACAAGTGTTGGGGGTTTATAAGAAACTCTCCGGGATGAGCGCTTTAAAGGGACAGTTTCACGGTAAAGCGCATGCTCATTAACTAAATTACTTTGTTCCAATTTATTATTAATGGTTAATAATCCCACTCACATGTATCTCAGCGATCTCAGAGTGTATTTCAAAGTAGAAATTTATTTCAGAGTAACCTGAAGTGGGATGAAGGAGTACTAAAATCGCAGAAAAAAATTAGAGGATTATGCCAACACTACCAACGTTGAATTTATTGTTGACCCGAAGGTTTTATTCCATGTTTGATTACTTTACAGCTATTTGCAAATATTTAAGTTGGTCAAGTGCAAGTGACTGCCAGGGGAGTGTTCAGATTGGTTCTTTGACAACATTATGACATGATCATTTTACTTGCATAGACGATACAGCATGTCCTGGCAGAAAAACAGCATTTTGATAAATGAGCATGCACTGAACTGTGAACCTGTCCCTTTAAAGGGGCTGTGTCACGGCAGTCCAGTTCATTTTGTTTAATTTTGCCGATTACTCGCCCTCAATCGCTATGGGACTTAAAGAAAGAAAAGAAATTACATGCAAATGACAAAATCGGAGATCCGAGAAAAACAAATATGTCTCCTGAGCATTATTTTTGAAGTTGCAAGCAGCAGGGATCAACTTTGAAAAACTGTTAGGCTTCAAAAACCCTAATTTCAATCCGTTTTAATCTTCTTCAGTTTTTCCCATCCGTGGCATCTGCAGTTTCTTTTATGTTATTTTAACCTTCCTTTAAAGTTTTAAGCGGTTATTTTTATGTTTCTCTGAATTTAACGGGCATTTTGTAATTTCCTAATTTGGCTGAGTTTCGTGACACAGCTTTTTCTTCTGCCTGGTCTTCTGACAACTTCATGAGACGTCATGTCCCTTCTCGTTTGCTGACGTATCCAAACCTTCTAAAGTTTAAAAGATTGTTTATCATGTGATCGATGAGCATAACACATGAGCTGACTGAACCGAAACAAAGTATGCTGTGGTGATAGTAGCCTGCAGTGCAGGCGTTTTCTTTTAGCGCGCAATTTGCTAGCGAAAGCGCCATGTTGAAACTTCCCGAGGAGAGGAGGAGATGGGGTGAGTCAAAGGGAGCACCTACCGTAAGGGTTACTATTTCTACTCTCCCAAATCTTCCACTGTCATAAAATCAGAGATGGTAGCTACAACAATATCACGAACACGAACAAGGTTTCGCCCACCCAAAATACGCCTGCACTGCAGGCTATGGTGATAGGCGTAGTCTGGTTTGATTGCGCCAAATATTGATTATCCCTTTCTTTTTGTGTCTCACGACTATGTGTAAATAACTTAAAATGACTGAGAATTTTAACTAGATATGGCCATGAAAGGAATAACCTGCCAACACTGTCACAGTCAGCGGCAATCTAGTACTTCTTTGTCTACAACGGAGCTCTGCTTCAAAGTTCAGGAAAAGAAAAAGAAAGTCGTTGTCACTTGTGTTCACTTCCTCCACAAAAAGTGAAATTAGGCAGTTATTCTCAAGTCGTGGTCGTGCAGTGACAGCAAAGAAATGTACAAAAGAAGCGTGATGCACGTGCAAAGTTGTTGTTGTTTTTTTTTGCCGTTTTTTGACGTTCTCGTTGACGTGCCGTCGTCGACGTTGCTAAAGCTCCCTTATGGCCACTTTTGTGGTGCGCGTAATCATCTGAAAAGATGGATACCTTGAACAAACGAATTCTTAGCTTTATCGGCAGGGTCATGGTTCTCTGTATGCTGTATGACTCTCTAGTAAAGTAAAGTCCCACTCTAAATCTCTTTTAAAAAAGGCGCTTTCAGTCTTAATATTGTACAAGAGCTGTTTTTTACCCGCTATCCAGGCTATATAATCTTTACAGTCCGTTCTACATCCTATAGTCTACGCGGTAATTACGTTTTGTTTTTCTCTACCGTCTCCGAAAGCAACTTCTTATGGTATTCACTCTTTCCGTACATGGCTTCAAAACTATGGAACTCTCTTCCCGAATCTTTTGGAATCTCTAACTTTTATGATTTCAAGTGCGAGATTCTAAAGTATGACCCTCTTTTAGTAGTTTCAAACCGTAGAATGTTACAATTTCACAAGAAACTAGCTCATCTTTAGCAAATCTAAGTTCGAAGCAAAATATTATTTATTAAGGTGATGAGTTGAACAAATTTAGTCATTTCGTATGGTCCTGATTCGTCAAGACTTTATATATTACTATCTATGTATGTATACAGTTAACTTCCAAAGTTTGATAATACATGTGATCGATGGGTCGACACGTACATCGAGACAGGTGCACCAACTAGTCAGTCAAATCAGTTTTCTTAATTGTCTTAATTATCATTAATTTTAAAGTGGACTGCCAGATTCTAACTAGTCATTGGGAGGGCTCACTTTAATAATGAATTGATGCACTGTTGTATAAACGTTGTGCAGAGTTTAAATCACTGTTAACTATGGACATGATGAACGTGATAACTCGACCGGAATTCCTACTCTTTGTCCAACTGGCGTTTTGCAGCTCGAAATAGCGGAAGAAGAAAATATTCAAAACGTCAATTGCCCGAACGTCGACCAACTTGGTGAGGTATCTACCTTTGATCGATGTAACCTCATGTCCGAATCAATCCTGCTCTTTCCACATGGGACCACGGTGAACACTCCCATCAAGTTTACTTCTAAAGAAGTAGTCTCAAAAGCGCAGTTAAAGGTGTACGGGATTCCGGGACGCGATTACTTTGGGACCCTTAGGGGGCTGGGGTACCTTTTTTGTTTCCAAACGCGAATACGTGCAACGCAACAACCATAATCTGAAATGCCCATTAAACGAGGACGTGGAACATGAGCTTAAAATGTTCGTAGTAGTTAAGAAGATTTATCCTTCCTTAAGCCTTGAAACACGGTTAAAGATCCGTACAAACGTCTGTCATTTTGTGACTGCGTCCCTAGCCTGCGTGTGTCCTTCTCGCGCGCCCGTGTTTTCTTGTGCCCACTACTTCCAAGGATCTCCAAGCGCCTCGGCTACGCGGCCTACTGCGTCCCCGAAATAAACTCTTAATTTTTTTCGCGGTTTCTGTGATATTCCTGAAAATAGGCAAACATAGTGATTTTCGAATTAGTTCCCTCCAGGTAGTAGATACATGTTAAAACAGGAAAAATGAAAAATATTTTAAAGAGTTTATATGGGTTTTCTTTCGTCGGGGGGAGGGTGCGGCTACACGTAGGCTACCCTGACTAAGGTATGGGTCGCACTACCTTGCGGTAGAAATCTGTCCTCGGTGGACATTGCTAAGTGTGAACCCCAAGTTTTCAGGTTGGAAATAACTGTGAAAATCGGCAAAAACATCGAAAACGCCGAAGTGCTTTTGTGGGGCAGGCAGATGTTGGAAAACTCGAGTTAAGCAATATAAGGAATGACAGCGGTAACAGTCAGCGCTTGTCAGTCTTGTCAGTGAAACGTGATCAATTTGAAACTAGCCTCCCCGCAGACGTCGGTTGGGGTTCGTTTGTCACACATTCATTTCTCCCCCACGGACGTGGGGGAGAAATGAATGCGTGACAAACGAACCCCAACCGACGTCTGCGGGGAGGCTAATTTGAAACACGATCAATCAGAAATAAACTGCGTGAAAAACGAACCCCAACCGACGTCTGCGGGGAGGCTAATTTGAAACACGATCAATCAGAAATAAACGTGGCCGAATGTTCAGCCCTTCGCGCTTTCGTGGAAGGACGAGGGAACTACTATCTTCGGCCATTTTAAGGCTTTTACGCATCCTTTGCCTCCACCTGGTTTGGCTTGGGTCATGCAAGACTTAAAGTTGTAGTCCTTCATCCTACAGTGGTTTCGAGATTTGGGTGCTTCTTGCCTCGGTCTTCGTTTTCGAGTGCTTCGCTTTCGAAACTACCGCGGAACACGACTCATAAGCTCGTGACCTTGGAATGTTAGTGTTGTTTAAAAACAACACGTTTACCCTTTTTTCTCTCTCGTTGCTGTGTTTGGGCATAACTAAACTTTGACTGAGCAAATCTTACTTTGCCGCCCTGATTCCAACTGCTGTAGGTTAGAAAAAGCCTGATTTACTACCTTTTTTAAATTTTAAAGTGTTGACAGGCCAAACATGACTCATATGCTCGTGACCTTGGACGTTAGTAGTAGAGCGCGGAGGAAAAATTCACGAAGAAAAAAAAAACGATGACTCCCCCGTCCCCCCCACCACCACCGTTCTCCTGGTGTACAATTTAACTCGATCCCCACTGAACGCCGCGCTATACTATCTGAACGCCTGGAACAGGCTACACGAAGAACGGCTTTGAAGCAGAGACTGTGAGGCCACGTTGAACCACGCGTTTCCTCCCAACTAGTGGGGCAGGAACGCGTGACGATTTGCGTGGTAGGCTACTAGTTAAGCCAGCAATCCAGAGAGATACACAACTGACACAACTGCAAATATAAATGAAACTAGAAAATATATGATTGAAAAATATAAAGGCTGTAAAGTCATGATCGGCGGGAGAGGGGAGGGGGGGCATTTAAGGGAATTCTAGCTAGAGGTGTGCCGCGAGGCACAGACACGTCACTCTTCTAAAACTCTTATCAGACATGTCACTCTTCTAAAACGAAATAAATAGTCTTGAATTCCAAACAGTCTTCGACAAGGATTAAATATTGCAACATATGGGCGTGCATACTCATCTCAGATTTCCGCATAGCTGTAAAAAGACACACTACACACACTACTGACATTCGAGCTGAAGATCTGTAGCAGGACGAAGATCAACATTGTTTCAGGCTGGCAACATGTCTTTAAACTGTGGAGCAATTTTTCTGTTAGGCCTAGTGGCACTTTATGGTGTCGTTACGAAAGCAACGCCTGTAGACTTTGGGAATTGTACGGGTGTTACACAGCACATTAGTGCCATCACCGTCGACGTAACCCCTTGCCCAGAACAGCCATGCGAATTCAAGAAAGGAACTAATGTTACCTGCACCATCTCGTTCACTCCCACGGAGTTGGTATCGAATGGGACACTGAAGGTTTACGGTATTCTTGGAGATGTGAAGATACCTTTTCCATTACCTAATCCTAACGCTTGTTCCAACCATGGCCTTACTTGTCCGTTGAAATCAGGAGCGCCAGTTGAATTGACAATAACTTTGCCGGTAAAATCCGAATATCCTTCCGTGACAGTAGTAGCTGAGTTTGAGTTGGAAGACCAGGATTCTAACAATGTGTTCTGTTTCAAAATTCCTGTTAAAATTGAAGACGCTTATGAAAACGTGGAAGCTTGAACGGACCGTCGATCGCGAACTGGACCTTTTCAACTTTCTCAGAAAGCTTAATGGACAGAATACTTACTTAATGGACAGAATTACTACTTACTACTTACATAATAGTACTTGTAGGTTATATTTCTTGTCACTCAATTTTATCAATTTTTTAAAATCTAAATCCTAATGTACTGTAGCGTGCACAGCATACATCTACTCGCAAAAACCTCGGTTTAGCTCTGATTGTTATCGATAATAAGGACTTTGATGATATTGCATGTCTATAAATGAATCAGNGTAGCTGAGTTTGAGTTGGAAGACCAGGATTCTAACAATGTGTTCTGTTTCAAAATTCCTGTTAAAATTGAAGACGCTTATGAAAACGTGGAAGCTTGAACGGACCGTCGATCGCGAACTGGACCTTTTCAACTTTCTCAGAAAGCTTAATGGACAGAATACTTACTTAATGGACAGAATTACTACTTACTACTTACATAATAGTACTTGTAGGTTATATTTCTTGTCACTCAATTTTATCAATTTTTTAAAATCTAAATCCTAATGTACTGTAGCGTGCACAGCATACATCTACTCGCAAAAACCTCGGTTTAGCTCTGATTGTTATCGATAATAAGGACTTTGATGATATTGCATGTCTATAAATGAATCAGTGTTCAAGACTAAATAGATTTCTTGCATGGGACCAATTGCAGCCAATAGAATTGTATAACGGCAGTGAAACTACCAGGTCTTGCTCAGTATAATGTCTAGTAAAACTACTGCATGCAAGCGATACTTAAGCTAGGATCTTAGTACTTATTTCACATAGCATTTTTACAGCAAGTAGTGCACATTGCTATTAGTTTTATGTCATGTTTTAGTAGTTCCAATTTCTTAGTGGTGTTGTATTGTGTTAGCCTTGTATGGGTCTCTATCCTTGCAGTCTAGATGTAGTGATTTATATTGTTTGTATTAGAACAAAGAATTGTAATAAACTGCCTGACCCCAAATATTGTGGCTTCGCTCCGGAGGGGGGGGGGGTACTCGATATATCCCTGGGTGGGGAGGTGCGGCGCGGCCCCTCATACCCTGACCCTGTTTAAGACAAATATTGCTGATTTTCCTACCCTGTTTAAGACAGAATTCCGATTTTTGATACCCTGTTTAAGACATTTATCCTGTTTAAGTCAAAAATTGATAGATCGATACCCTGATTAAGACAAAAAATGATAAATTCGATACCCTGTTTAAGACAAAAATCCCGAAAAACATACCCTGGCTGGCCGCACGTCCCCATTAAGCCCTTATAAGGGAGTACCCTCCCCCCGGGGCTTCGCTCGAATCTTGGTGCTTAGACTTGGAAGAACTTCCAAGAAAGAACACCACCCCCTCCGCTTCGTTAGTAAGAAATCACGAGATGTTTGTTTTTGTGAAAGGTTTGAAGGGAAAAAAAGAAAAAATGCAAAAAAAAAAATGTAGAAGTTGCTACATAACCCAATCAGTGGTGGATTTCACTGTTTTGTTTATCCCGATCCTTGGGTCACATGGCCTGCTAAATGACGTAAGGATCACGCGACTGGGATCGGCTCCTGGCTCGTGATCGTCATATTTCCGGCCCAGTTTAGGTCGCCCGGGGAGTCAGGTCGCTTGGCTGGTTAGTAAAGAAGGTTTGTTTTGAAACCGAAATGTTGGGCAAATTTGTTTAAATATATATTTTTTGCTTTATTTTTTTGTTTACTTCTTCATCGCCTTGCGGTAAGGATCAGTTTGCCGTTTTATATTTTCTACAGTTATTATTGTACTGATCCAGGTCTGAGGATAATTTATATTTTGGCTGGCAATCGCCTACTCGAGGGGGTCTTTTGCAATGGCGCATCCAGACCTTCAGAAGAGGGGGTGGGGGGGGGGGGGGGAGTCATCCAACCCCCGGGATAAGAGGGGGGGGGGGGCTCAAAAAAAAACTTTTTTGGGCCTTTGGGGCCCCTTTTTTGTTTAAAAAAAAGGAGGGGAAGGGCCCCCCGGGCCCCCCCCCGGGACCCCCCCCATTTTTTTTCCTTTT